AAAAAAAAAAAAAGAAAAGAAACTTACTCCCGAACGTATAAAACTAGTTGTTATCTATCAATTTCTTTTTCCGCGAAAAGTGAAACATCGAACACGTCATCCGCTCTGTTATCAATTTATCCGCCATTTTTGTATCATTCTTCAAGCTATGAACTAATCCACACGCAAAACAGATATTGCTCGTTTCACAGACCGGCCGATAAAATTTTTATCTTAACAGATCGGTCGATCTGAATCGATCGAGTGCGGGAAACCCTGAGTGAGTTAATTATCTCGAAGTTCTTTCAACGTCGAAAAGAGTTAGTCCTAGCGATAAATAATGCCGTGACGTCGATCGAAAATTCGAGAAAGAAAGAGCGAGTGACATCGATCAGATTTGATCAAATTTCATCGAATTATAATGTTCAAGATTAAAAAAAAAAAAAAAAAAAAAAAAAGAATCATTCCACTTTTTCGTTATTAGTGTCGATCAAACCGACAATCGAGTTTAACACTAAACATACCGGCATTTTACATGTACCTATCTTACCATGAGGGGTCATTTAACCCCTTATGAATAAACGTTGATTTTTAGGAAGAAATTCTTAATTTATTAAAGGAAATAATTTGCAACGTAATTTCTGATTTCTAATAAAATGCTCAAACGTATATTTTTATTTAAAGTAAAGTTTGAAAAGGGGTCATTTGACCTCTTACAAATAAACATTTTAGAAAGAAATTCTTAATTTATTAAAGGAAATAATTTGCAACGTAACTTCTGATTTCTAATAAAATACTCAAACGTATATTTTTATTTGAAGTAAATTTTGAAAAGGAGTCATTTGGTACGTTTAGTGTTAAATGCTCGCGTAATAGTTGCGTCACTATCTGAAACTGATTCATCGATAATTAAGCAGCCACTTTACGCAGATTGTAATAACGAAAATGCACGGTTGGTAAAATTACCGGTAATTACTGGCACACCGGCGGCCTTCGATTTGCACTTGCAATCATGTCCGTGCTTGGGTTTGTTTATCACGTGAATATAACTGGTCTCAGATCTATATTTGGCACGGCATTAACCGCGAAACATTACAATGCAACGATTGTACGATTATTTAAGAATAGATCTGGACGCGAGAAAATATGTAAGTTTGTCCGAGGATACTCGCTCCTTCAACTCGATTTCTTCTAACGTACGGCCGGTTAGTTTTGCGGGATTTTTTTTTTGTAGAGTATCGGACGACCATCTTCGCGTTTAGAAAAGTTAACTCCTTGACTGCCACGGATGTTTTGATTCGAATAAATTAAATATAAAATATCGAAGAAAGAAGACTAGCAGTCAAAGAATTAATACCGATCATTGAAGTTATTGTAAAGAGCTTCTTCACGAATTTTCTAAGAATTCTAAAATCGTAGTTACAGGCTATATTTATTAGAAATCACGATCTTCTAATTGCTACAAGAGCTGTTTCATTGATTTCTATTGTTTCTTGTTAAAACTTTCTCGTAACACGATTCGATGAAATTCATCTTCTTTACAATAAGTTCAGGTCACTGGAAATTATCTCATCTGCAACTTAAGCTACCATCTCGCAGGGTAGGCAACAAGCAGATGTTGAAAATGTCGTCTCAGTCATCTCGTATCTGACAAAAAAAAAAAAGGAGCAACGTCCGACAACTTAATTAACATGGCGAGAAGGCGAAGAAAGAGTATGAATCGAGAACTTTCGCTGAATCGATCAATCAAACGGGGAGGGGTGTTTTGCTCATCTACCCATTGAGAAAAGTGCCGTTGTGCCTAAACGGCTTCATTATAAATACCCGTTGCGACGTAATTCTCGCTACGTCCGTCGACGGATATTTATAAGGTTTACGTGGTCGTCCAATGCTCGATCCGTGGTAGAAACGTGCAATTCGTTTACCGTTCGCTTTCATCCGCAGCCTGCGACGCCTCTGCCAATTTAGCAGTGGCCGTTGCGAGACGTTCCTCCGATCTCTCGAGGTCCTCCTCCAGCAATTGGATACGACGATTCAGGGCGGCTACTTCGGACTCAGCCTGCAACACGCGAGAAAAGAAGAATCTCGATAAATTTGCGACTAAACATCTACATCGTACAAATGTGTCGCTAATTTGATTTTCCAACATACTCGTCTGGACGAGGTCGTTCGTTTACTTAACGAAAAAAGAAGTCGGAGTCGATTAGTTTGGTTAAAATAAAATTACGGACAATTTGCAGTAATAAACGTGATGGAAACTTGTAGGATAGCAAGGCACTGATTTAAACGAATTGGTCAACCATATTCGCAACGTCGTAAGAATAATAACAGTTATCGTTACGACGAGTTTTTTTTCTTCAAGGCTGCAATAAATTCATTACCACGCGAGCGAAAGAAGTTGAGATCAAACACAGCAGAGATAAGCTATCGTCGTTGACAAATGACGACTGCACCGTTTATTTTTACACTCGTCATACAGATCCCTTCTTTACTTCCTTGTCCTTGTACCGTGTGCTCCAGTGAAAGAGGTGAAAAAAAAAAGAAAAAGGAAAAAATAAAAAAAAAAAAGAAAAGCTGAATTAAAAAAATACTGTCCACGTATCGTACGATCGCGCGATTAGGATTCGCAGGGAGATTCGTCGCGGGATCGCCAAGGTCTTCGCTCCGTTCGCATATCAATGACCGTCAGCTTCCTTCCCGAGCTCTCGTGTTCATCATAACAATCGATTTCATTGTACGGGACCGAACGATTCTTACAGCCTCCTTGGAAATCGAATTCGCCCGAAGGAGACCGACTATTCTCGAGATAAGGGAGGCAATGTACAATTAAATGCGCGACTTAACGCTATTTCGATATTTAAATTAAATTCATACAAGTTTTCTTATTCTATTCTGTGCTTGCTGCAACCACTTTTTGCAAAATTGTTAACACGATACGTGTTATTTTCAATTCGAAACTTTTGCTCAATTATCACCACATCTAAAGAATAAATAGAAAGTTATTTTATTTAACTTCCATCCAAAATCAAAGTGGAAGTTATTGGTTAAATTCAATAATTACCGAAGAACTTTGCACTTCTTCGCGAGATTGAAACTTAACGCGGATATTAATCTGTTTACAACGTGTCGATTCATTGCAAAAATTGATCGATACGATTCTTTATCGACTATCTCTCCCTCTCTCTCTCTCTCTCTCTCTCTTATCGAGCAAACCATTCGTTCTCACCATTTTTATCGAAATAAAACGCGTCTACCTAGAATTGAATTTCCTGCCGGTGTTAAAAAAAAAAAAAGGGTGGTAAATTAGCGTCGTTTCGCTCCAAGACGGCGGACAAAACGAACGAACGAAACGAGGTCGCAATGCAGAAATAATTGAAGCGTTCTTCAATTAAGACACGGAATTGTAACGCGTTTTTTTTTTTTTTCAAACACGCGTTACGTGAAACGACGAAACGAGAGCGCGCGCCCTTACGAATGTAAATTGCTTGACGCTCGATTACGCGTGTATTCGTCTACGCAATTCCAGGCCCTTGTCCCCGTTTGTTGGCTGCACCTGCGACGATTGTGCGCCGAGCGGATAAATCCCGATTCATCGTGCGTGAAGCGGGCATTACGCGCGCTTTCATGCACGTGCCCCGGCTCTCTTCCTTTGCCAACACGCTTTGCATCCGCACCGATCCTCGAGACTCTGTTTCGCCGCAAAAATCGACAAATGTACATTATCTCATCTTGTTTATACGAAAAGATCCCGTTCCTCGCACATTTTAGATTTTTCTCATCTAAAAATGTTCTAACGTTAATTCAACCGGTTCTACAACGTTTGGTTTAACAACACTTTGAAAGGTA